GGAGGGAGGGAGGGAGGGAGGGACTACAACATGAAAAAACCCAGATCCTCCTCCTCCTCCAGCTTAAATATAATTAAGTTCTGCACACAGATATAACTCCTGCCAAGTCAACCACTTTTGTCCATAGTACTATTTTAATTATTCAAATATGATCAAGCTGTTTTTAATTTTCCGTGCAGACTGAATATATACTTTTTGAATTCATGGACCTGATGAATTACTACTTTTATAACCTAGAAATGAGACTCTTGATTTCTTTTGTGCTGGTTTATGGCTCCATCTGTGTTGCATATTTTTATGCAGGTGCCCTAGTGACTTGGTATTTAAGACAAGTTTGTCATGTGTGAATCTTTTAATTAAAACATGGAAACTCAAGGACGCTATTCTATAAATGCAAACATTTTCCAAAATTGCTATTTGCTAAGGTGCATTCCACAGTATATAAGTACATTTCACTGAAATGTAAAAACAATAATTTACCCCATTCCTACAGAAATATTATTTATACATCCTTTTTAAAAGGAGGAAAAAATTGCAGAAAAAGGATTGTAACAACTTCATTTACCATCAAAATAACAAAGGAGCTAATTGTTATATAAGATATCTATATAATGTAATAAAAAGGTACATAAAACAGGATGCATACTTTTTATACTTGCATATATTCCTTACTAAGGTAATGTTAGCAAAAATATTCTGTAAATTAAACTGAATAAAAATGATATAATGATTTCAACCTACTTTAGTTTCATGTTCAAAATATATCCAAAACAAGGTATTTTGGGGTGATGTAGAAAACTCCTATCTGAAATTCCTAAGAGCTGATATCAGAATAAGTACAGATCATGCTGAATTAGATGGACAATTTGGAACAGAAGTTCTCTCAAGATGAAAATATTATAAATAAAATACCTTATACGCAGCACCACCATGGATGATAGATTTGATGAAAATTCCAAGATCAGCCCCTGTCTCTCGAGATTTGTTGCCTTTTAAGCTCACACCAAGTCCAGCTGAACCCGAATCATTCAAAGGAATTTCAAAAGTCAATTGCTCTGTTGCCTCGATTGAAAAAATGTTGCAACATGGTTCTCCTTTCTGTTGGATGAACAGAGAAAGCAGAACATGTGAAAAATAGGAGGTAAATACTTTTTTCTCTGATCATACAAGACTAGGAACAGAGAGAAATACCTCAAGAGACAGAGGACGTCCTTCATGTTAACTACATTTTAATTGGGAATCAGAATGAAAAGTCTGCCTTGAGAGGTAGACCAGACAATATTTATTTCAAAGTATTTCAAATTTCTTACAGTTTCTATAAGCAAAAGTGATACAGAGGCAAGCTATCCCTGATACCAACTTTTTATCGTTCAGCCCTGAAAGGATCATTGGATGCAGTCACGTATTCTCCAAATCATGAACAAGAGTGACTGCATTAGCAGGGGACAGAACTATGATGTCATACTAAAGAACAGCAGAGAAGTCCGGTTATGAGATGAATTAGAGCCATCAAAGCTGGTTCCTATCATTTAAGCAAACTACATCAATTCACAATCATGGTTAAAATATTTTAAATATGTTGATCATCGTATGACTGATACATACTATTTTAGGACCAAAAATCATGATGAGTTTGATAGCACCTTTTCCAGTCAACACATTTTACTAAAAAACATAAGCTTTTGATGTTAGTTGGAAAAGATGCTCTGAGATTCCTGTTTTCGCTACCCTAGACTAACACGGCTCTTCTACATTTACAATTTATTCTTACATTTTATGCCAATGTAGAACACATGGTTTATTAATGTGTTTATTAGACTGAAAACAGCATAAAATACTATTTTATGCTGTTTTCAATCTAATAAACACGTTAATAAACAATGTGTTCTACATTTTTGCCTGCAAAAATGTCAGGGCACAAGGCAGGCTTCAGGGACATTGCAACTCTCTCTCCCTTTCTTCTATTGACAAGCTTTGTGCTTCTTTTATATGATGTATTTTCATGGCCATTCATTCCTAATTCTTCAGATTCCCTACAGTCACTCTGATTCCCACAATCAGGGATCAGGTAAGGAGCTCTCTCTCATTATATAAGAAATATTTATAGGATTTCACTTTCTTGGAACTTCTTTTATGGAAATGTCACTCATATCAGTGAGCAACAGCACATCCACCAATATTGCAAATTAAACCCTTTTATTTTTTGTTCCTGTAAAGAACAAAAATAAACAACATGCCTTCAATTTGGAAAACATGTTATTTCAAAGAGGGAGAAAAAATTAGGATCTACTGAACTATAAACATCAATTTCATGTATAACAAGAATATTTCATATATTTAATGAATGCATTCTGTTTAATTGGAAAACATAAAAATGATTTGATTTTGATATTAATAATATGCTGTAGTATAATCTAACAGCCTACCTCTACTGCTTTTTCTATACCCAAAGCTATATACATATACAGTATGTAAATTTTAAATCCTTAAAAACAGAATTGTATAATTAGTGTTTTAGAAAATAATGTGTACACTAAAATGTAATAACATACTGCACTGTATGAAAGCTTGGAATTATTTTTAATAAAAACCAATGGCTGTTTAGTATAAAATAGATGTGCTGATGTTTAAGCCTCTTGACATTACAGACTCATCTCTACATGATGTCAGCTATGGGCTGTCCTGTATAATTCACAAACCACAACAACGTTATCAGGTGAAAATAAGTGAATCAGGAAAAAAAAAAAACCCTGTACATATGAGGAATGGTTCACAATAATGGTTTTGTTGATCCTTCCCTCCTTGACTGTCTGAAGAATTTTATGGAGATCATCCCAAATTTTATGTGAATTTAATATAAAGTGTGACATTTAGCACCTTCTCTCCTGTTTCTCCCTAACAAATTATATCCTTCCCTCAGATATTCTGCTTTTCTTATTAGCATAATATCTTCTCTGGCTTGCTCTTCTTTAGGAAACGATCATCTATATCTTTCTTATCCATTTGTCATCAGATACTGAATAATGCTTCCCACTCAGAGCAACCACCATCTTTGTTTCCTTAGACCACCTGCAGTGACAGACAGTAGTCCATGACTAATCGTTTCTCCACAGCATTCAGGATATTCAAAGGGTAAAGTATTTCACAATTTGCTGTAACATGCATCAGGACAAGGACTAAGCTCCATATTTCTATATTAGCCATGTGTAAGAGCTTTGGCATAGCCAGCATTTTTTTTCCTTTGAGAAAAAATAGTATCACAGCATCCCCACTCCACTCACCATGTACTTCATGATATAAATTGCTTTTCAAAGCCCCTTCTATCCATGTATGTTTTGCCACTGTTTTAAAGCTAGCTTGTTTCCTTACTTGCTTATTTATTTATTGTTTTTATATACTGCTGCATTTCAAAGAATTCCTGGTGGTTTGCAGTACAAATGTAAAAGTACATAAAAGCATATAAACAATAAAATCCAGAAATCCACCCACCATCCATAATTAATGGCAACAGCTCTTACAGGTTGAAAGGCCTTGAATCCATCTTGATAGCCTTCCTAAATGCAAACAGGGAGGATGCTGTCCAAATCTCAAGGAGGTTGTTCCATGGCAGTGGGCAGCAGTAGAAAAATACCTCATCACAAGCCACTTCCTCAGACCCCCACCAATGCAAAGTCCTGCCCTGAATGAATCTGAGCAATTTTTCCAGTAAAGTGTTATGCAAATAATTCAATGGGGCTATTAGGCGGATCTTCCTGCCCATCTCTCCCAGGATGGAGCAAGACTGCTGTCAGTCCCATTAGATAAATCAGACTAGGAAATCAACTCCACAGATAGACTAAAACTATTTTTATTGAGATTGCTATAACAACAGAACCTTGCAAGTCTGTTCTATACCTCCTTCTCTTCCTTACTGTTCAGTGAATTAGGGAGGCATCCACCTGAGACACTTCTAAATGTTATCTCATTGTAGATTTAAAAAATGCTTCATCCCCTTTTGCCAAGGCAATGGATCCTGCATATCTCCATCAAGGTCATCTCCTTACTGCCTACATCTGCCCTTACTAATATGTTTGGCTCAGTCTTACCCATGTTCAATCAGGTTCACTCCTAGTCTTCTTCCACTAGCACTCCAGGTGCTTCTCCTGTCACTTCATTTCCTGGAACTCCCGAATAACTCCAGAGTTCCCCAGGATTTGCAAAAAGTTGCTCAGAGATCACATCCTGCCTTTGACCACAAGAACATGATCAGCGGTGCAGCACAATTGCCTGCCGGGCTGCTTGGAAAATACTTAAGCACTTGCCAGAATCCATTAGGGTCCATGAGGCACCTAGGACAAACCATCTTAATCAGTCCACCACTACCATTTATGGAGGTCACCAGCAGCAATGAGCCTTATCCATACCAGGAAGTGATCTGACCATAGCAAAATACTATGTACAATGTCCTTCATCTTCCATTCACATACCAACTCAATCCATGGCTGCTATGGAGGTCATGAATTTCTAAGTCTCCCAGAAGTGGAGAGTAGCCCTACTTTACTACCTTAATGTGCTCTCAAGTACACCCCTGTCAACAAAGAATCATAATCACCATGCCTTGGCAGTCTGCCAGATTTTTAATATGCTAATAAGATAGACATAATCATTACTCCACAATAAGGAAGTGATCACATATCCTCTATAAAAAACAAACAAAGGGATTACAGAGTAATCTATGATCATATAAGCTTTGAAGAACAGCAATGAAAATCTTGCACCATACTATCCATACCCCATAGTTAATTTCTCCTACTAACAAGCAAATGTGTGGGTTTCTTAGGAAACACTTTGGTATATCAATTTATTTCTATATCACACTTTATTTAGATAAGTGCACCTGTTAACTTAGTTAAGTTGTACCAAACTGCTAAATTTTTCTTCCTGTTTCCAATAGTGCAACAAAATTAATGGTAATACCACAGTTAAATCAATGTATGTAATACCTTCTATAATAATAAATATTTTATGTAACTATTTACACTCTTTATACTTTTCAGCATAAATTCTCCACTTTAATCTGTAACTTACTATTTCAATGTGAATATTCTGATATTTATTTCAAACATATAAAAACTGATCACCATATAACAGAAGCAATTGTTGGCTTCTTCCCAAATAGTATTTTCTTCAAAACTTAAAAAATACAATTTAGAAAAGCATTCTGACAAAACTTCAAATAAAACTTTACTCCTACAGATGTAGTTACATAATTAAATTCCACAAAACATTTAATGGTAAAACATGCACATTTGGGTGCTCTAGCGTTTCATACTTCTGCTAAGATTTATTAGTTTATTAAAACATAATTATTGGTCAGATTAGTTCTTTGAACCAATCTGTTGGGTTATGATCAGAGTACACAGAATGCTATCTATAGCAAAATAGAGTTGTTAAATGTGCTGGAGTGAAATGACAAATATAAATATACTAAATCATTTTCAAATACTAGATTTCTTACAGCTCAGCTAATACTCAGTCTGTAATCCATAACATTTCACAGCTACTTACCTCTCTAGAAAGCACTCTGGGAATGTTCTGCCCATCAAATAACTTATGAGAGCTAATACTCATTTTTATTTGTCTCGTGTTTAATAGTAAATGCATATACTAACATTTAATAGTTCATTCATGGATCATATAAAATGAAAGATTGTAGAAGTTAAAGACTATACATTTAAGAACCTCAAAGACTTCTCAGAGGAGGAAGATGGGTTAGACAACCTCACTGACTTTTTGCAACTAATGAGCCAGGTCCTTGGGACACTTTCCCTAAGACTCTCATCTAGACTCCCCAGTACAGTAATAAAGAATATTAAAAGTTACAGAGGTGCTGAAGGGTTCACTTAAAAGACAAAGGACTTGGGAATAAAGGCTTATTTCAGAGTAGCTCGATATAAGATAACTTTGCAGACAAATCAGGCTTCATGAACACCGGTTTCATGAGAAAAGGGTAATTTGAGCACACCTTGAAAGTAATTTGAAGAAGTATTTTGGGCCTAACATGAGCAAAGCACCTCCCTGCTGTTCATTAAAACAGACTCTCTTTTTTTAGGCTTCCT